GCTCTCGTTGGCATGACGCCATGGTCGGGACGACGCTGTAGAAGAGATTCTTTCCCTTCCCCTTCCTACGCCCGCTTCGCTGTCTGGTACGCATTGCTCCCTCGGACCTTGCGCTGCACAATGCCGCGCCTGTTCGAGATCACCCTGCTCCTTTTCCTTCTCCTTCGGCGGTTTGGGCTCTTCGTCAGCGCCGGCATTGTGAGCTTCCGAGACACGCCCGCAGATCGAGGAATCCTCCCCATCCCCAGGAGCACGAGTCGAGGAAGCTGCAATCCTGCTGCCCCGACACGTACAATTTTTGCCTGCATGCATGCAACTGTCGCCCAAATACGTGAGGTCATGGCCGGCATGGCAGCGACGGGCGCAATACCCGCAACATGTATGGGAAACTTCCTCTTCCAAGGCCGTTCGACAATCCTCCGCCGTGCACGTGTGGCAGTAGTAACGAGCTTTGGGAGGAAGGTTTTGCGATGCACTTCCAGACGTGACTTTTAATTCTCCGGAAGCGTCTGTTTCCATAGTCTGGGTCTCCTCCTTCCCCATTCTGACCTCAGACACCGCGGTCACGAACTCCCCGTCTCCCTCCACGGCGTCCTTCCCTCTCCCTTCCCTTTCTTCTATCCCCTGCCTCTTGTCTTCCTTCGCCATTTGTTCTTCTCTGGCCAGAAGCAATCCCTCGAGTAGCTCCAGCAACCGACATCGCTCCGCTGTCTGGGCTTCCCTCATCCCGCCTTCAACCCCCGTCGCCTCCCACCACATGGCCTTCCCCTCCTCACCCCGTACTGCCGGTCCCCTATCCCATTCCAAGGCGCCCACGATTCTCTGCTCCATCGCTTCTTCTTCCCCTAAAGCCACTGCCAAGCAGCAGCAAAATTGATGCATTCCCAGGGGCACCAGGGTAGAGCGGGAGACCAAGAGGGGGAGGAGGGAGAGCAAGACGTCGAAGAGGGCCCTACAGAACCCGCCCGGCACGGGGCCCGGGGACGGAAGGGAGGAAGGAGGGAAAGGCGAGAATGAAAACGCCGTGTCAGGAAGGATCTGGAGGCCATCGGCTTCAGCCAGTAAGACGAGCAAACTGGCAAAAGCGGCTGGAAACCCCTTGGGTGCCCCTGCCCACTCCTCCTTTTCGTCTGCTTCACCATACAAGAATGCTTCTCCCCAGCGACGACAGTCTTTGTCCGTCTCCTTCCCCGGTGATGCCCTTCCTCCCCTTTGCCCTCGTCTCCCAGGCCCGTTGTCCTGCCCTCCCAATCCACAAGAGACCACACTCTCCAACACGGATGGGGACAGGGCAGCCAGATAGGAAGCGAACGACACGGAAATCTCCCGGGCCTTCCTTTCCTCCTTCTCCTCCGGGGTCGAGCGGGAAGGAAGGGGAAGAGACGCGGGCCTGGAAGCTATCGCGAGTGCACCCACGACCAGGAGCAGCAGGTATGGGCTGGGCGGTTGGGGTTGGGGGGAAAAGAGCAAGGGTGCCAAGCGCGGGACGGAGCATTGGAAATGGGAGAGCAAGACGATTCGGTTCTGTGTCAGGTGCCAGGCGTAGACAGAAAAGGCCTGGCGGACCAAGGCGTCGGCCAAAGTGGAAAGAAAGGACGTGTGGCGTGCCTGTCCGAGCTCCATGGTCGGAGAACCCAATATTGAGGCCAATGTCTCCAGTGCCAAGTCCAAGCGCGCCTCGGCTTCAGCATGCAGGGGAAGCAGCGGAGGAAGCTCCGGGCAGAGTCTCCGCACCGTCGCGTCGTACGCCGACAGGTGTCGGTCTTCTGCCAAGGGAGTCATCCGATCCTGCCCCGTCTCATACTCCTTGTCCGGGGGAGACACCCCTGTTATCCCCGTGGCAGCGGCGCCGGACGACGAGGGGGGGGCCTTGATCCCCTCTGCTGCCGCCACACTCAATAATGCCGCCAGCCGCTGCTTGGCCAGGGCGAGTCTGCTATTCGCGCTGCCACCCGTCCCTCCCTCCCAGCTTTTGTTCCCACCGCTTGGAGTTGAACGAGAACTGCCCGTCCGTGCACCGAGTGGAAGGTCCACGTAGGCGTCTTGCATACGGGTGACGAGCGAGGACGGAGGCAACGGCGTTTCCAGGAAGTCGAGAAAGGCGCGCATCTCGGGATGGCAGGACCTCAAGACGGAGCCCACGTCCCGAAGGAAAGGCTCTTCCAACCCCCACCGAAGAGCCAAGGAGGTGCACGTTACCAGAGAGGAAGTGTACGATTCGAGATATGTGGAGCCGTGTACGGGCGGTCCGGCCAAAAATATCTGTGGATTGCTCTTTTTCCAAGCCACTTCAATGGCGTCAGTGAGGGCCAGCCGATGCACAAGGAGGGCACGCCGGAACGCCTTATCGTTAGTGCTGCCCGGAGTGCCATCTGAATCTGTACCCCTGCTACAAGTTTTGGTGGTTGCCGCCGTAACGGTAGTAGTGGAGTATGATCCGTGCACTGGCATGGCATCAGGAAGCTTGGCCGGGGAGGTATTGCCCGCGTGCGTATGTCTTAGACGCTTTGGTACACTCCCGCCCGGACCGCCACCGCCCTTGCGACTACTCATGCTGGTGTTCAACAGTCGTGTCAAGCAAGTTTTGTATTATTCCGGGCGTCTGTGGACAGGGTATGTTATCTTGATGTTGGAAATATGTCGTTAAACAAGGAACTTGAAATATCGGGCGGATGAAGAAAAAGGGAGACGCAAAAAGGGGAGGTATCATGGTAAAGCCACGCAAGCTCAAGAAAGGCGGGCGTTGAGATGGACACATGGTACAATATTGTCTCCAGACATCATTGTGGAGGATAAGCGGTCGTTATCAGGGTTTCGTGAAGACACTGGCAATCGTGAAGATGACCGTGGCGGGGATACGAACGAGCAGCCAGAGGATCGAGAGGTGCAAAGTGCGTGCAAAAATGGTCATTAAAAATGACCAAGGGGATCCACGAATAGGAGAAATCATCCACTGACTTTTCATACACGTCGTTGATCATTTTTCATTGGAAGCGCTTGCTACATGCATTTAAAAATGACTTTCTTCTTGCACCACAACGAAGCAGGCGGCTTCAAGTTCTCTTTCCGTTGCTTGCCATGAAGCGAAGCGGGGCACCAGACGCGTGTGACCGGGGGGGAAAAAGAAAAAGGAAATATTATTCCTTGTGGGGAGCAATAACTATTGTGTGTCGCATGATCTGATGATACCAATGCACATACTCCATCCCCACAGGGCTGAGAAAAGGCGGCTTTGTCTGTCAGGTTACATCTTCATGACGTCGACCGTAGGCCATGACCCCAATGCATTCCATCAACTGCCCGGTGACTATGCCTCCGAAAATAAACACGACGAAAATGGCACGGAAGTCAGCGTAGTAGAGCGTGTGAAGGAAGAATACCTCCACCCTTGCTGCCAAAAAGAGTTGGAAGCCACACGGGCTCGGACCAAACTCATGACCAAATTGACGGCAGCCGACATCACGAGGCATGCGATGGAGCGCAGAAGGAACGTGTTCGGCCCGGAGCAGGCCAATGATCAACATCAGCATGTGCATGGCACGGGCTGTTGTTCCCTGACG